GTGTGTGTGCGTGTGTGTGTGATTCTCTCATCTGCTATCCCTGTCTCTCACATTTCCATATATTAGGCTCATAGATAGACAAGTCTACATTATGAATGCCCCCAATAAAATTCGCCCTCACACTCGACATTATCCTGAATTGCACACATTATCTTCACCCTCACTTTGTAGTTCATTGTCCGTTCCTTGCAAAAATAGAATACGTACAAAGACAACAGATAAAACTCTACAGTCCACAAGAATAGTAATTATGCCTCGCACAACAGTCGTGCAGGGCTATACAATAGAGAGCATGAGAAGAATACTATAATAAGCTACAGATGGTAGAGTGTTAAAGCATCCATTGATTGCCTGACTGTCATTGAAGGCTACGTGCAACTACTGAAGGGAAGGGCTGGATTGATACGCGAGGAAAGAAGAAATATTTGATAACTTTTTAACAATCTTAATTGCTGACTAAGTTGCTGAACATCTCTCCCTGAGAGAGGGGGGGGGAGGGGGGTGTTTTATGGTTGGTTTGTTTTAATTGTTGCTCTTACTCATGGGTGTAATATGTTCGATTTGCGATTTTACTTGGTTAATTCGCCTAATTCGCCGTGTTTTGAGAGAGAAAAAAACAACAACCCAAAAACCCCGAATACAACTGACCATCTCTGTCATCTAAATTCTGAGTAAGCGTTTATATGTTGATGAGGACATATTTTTTTTATTTTGTTTTTAATGATGCAGATGTTCTACGTCCCTATCGACACGATATAGAACATTTAGGAAGCGGGCTGCTTCGACTCCGCTTGTCAAGGCCAACCGGGGCTGAGAGATGCATAATTTCCCAAAAGACAGACGGAGATACTCAATAAAAAAATTTCCTCACACGCAAATCGAACTCTAGTCTTCTACATGCGACAACGAAGCGCCTAACAGCTGCACCACAGGCGCCAGTCACCCATTTCTAGACTCATTTCTAAAACAGAAAGAATAAATAGATGCAATATGTATTCATGTGACGTATACTTTTATCGGGCTATAAATAAACCCTCCGAAGTATAAAGAAAGATTTATTCAGGATCATTTTGTTTTTGCAAGATTAGAGTGCGTGCCTTCCTGGGCTGTTCATAGTTGTCCTTGAGGCAAATACTCTGAATATTCATTGCCATTAACAACGACCAAGGAGAATGTGTTGTTATTCAGTCAATAACGTTCTTTTTTCTCTTCCCATTGTCAGTGTGTGTACAAAACAGCAGGTACGGCCGAGGTGTCTAGATTTTGTCTTACCTTTATTTAAAACACAGAAGTGCCTGAACTTCGCAAATCAGTAAATAACTCAAATTTCATAATTTGACCAAACAGTATTAGTTGTTTAGAGGTTGTTTTTTTGGGGTTTTTTAAGGGGAGGGGGGGGGGGTAGTTGAGGTGTGTACAATTGTACAGTGGAACACCACATACAAAGGAAGAAGGCAATAGCTGTTAAGTAGAAACTTTACTTTTTCCTTTATGTAAATGTTTTACTGCATTTGCAACTTAAATAGATTATAAGATGAGTGCCGAAGATTAAAGGTGTTATACAGAGTGTGACATACAAAGAAAAAGAGAAGGACGATAAAGGTTACGACAGAACGGAAGTAGTGAACCACACCAGAGTACCCGACAACCACCTATGTAATTTTACATACCTCGCAACATAAAACAAACAAGAATTGTAATAGTGTAGAGTAACCTAATGGCACACCTGGTCAAGCCCATCTTCAGAATGTCTGATAACCTAGTCAATGTTGGACGATTACGGGTTGTCAAACAAAAGCCAGTCTATAGATATTATGTACGCGCGCGCACACACACAAACACAGACACACACACACACACACACACACACACACACACACACACATACACACACACACACACACATACACACACACACACACACACACACACACACACACACATATATATATATATATATATATATATATATATATATATATATATATATCGTTCCCTTTCCTGCAATGGTGTGCTTATCTTTCTAAGCTTAAGTATTGTTAGTTGGTTAAACCTTTGTAACATAATTATTATGGTTTCGCTTGTGAGTTTCAAGTGTTTTTCTTTTTCTTTTTTTAAATTCCTACAAGCAGAACACATCAGGTCTATTAATGGGCCAGTATCAATGTCATGATTTGTCCGTTTTGATGTTCTTGCTTCTCTGCTTTCTCTACTTTACAAGCTCTTGTGTTTCAAAACCTTGCTGCCATATGCCACAGTTTTACACTACTATGATATGTCCAAACAGAGGGTTTCCCTCTCATCCACAACAATGGAGTAATCTTTCAGAGACAATTTTTCAGAGACAATTTTAGAGAAGAGAACTTTTCCGTCGATACCAGGATTCGTACCCGGAACCTTTGAATGAGAGGCGAACACCTTAACCTCTAAGTCACGAGAGCCCCCATCTTCTTCTTCTTCTTCTTCTTCTTCTTCTTATTATTATTATTATTATTATTATTATTATTATTATTATTATTATTATTATTATTATTATTATTATTGTTGTTGTTATTATTGTTATCTTTAGCATTATTATCTTTCTTCTTCTTATTGTTGTTGCTCTTGTTGTTATTGTTATTATCATTATTATTACATTATAGATAAACTACAAATAATATAATGATATAACGATTGATTTGGCCATAAGACAAGGCAACCAATGGGAACTATTCGTAATCCTAACTTTTAATCAAAACAACAGTCATGTCATACCACTATGAGTTGTTATCTATTTTCATCACACCAACAAAGAAAACAAAATAACCAAAGAAATCAGCAAAGAAACTAAAGCAAACGAACGGCAACAACAAGAATTCAGAACAAGGGCTACTGTACAAGGAGACCTAGTTTTCCATCCTAATGAGACTTATCGTGCCTTATTTAATTTTTTTAAAAACCGTTTCCTGATAGTAAGTGAAGTGTACCCTAAAAGCACACCTGGTCAGTTAGATGAAACAGCAATCAGAATGAAACAAAGAGTACTGAAACCTTTCTCTATGATATAATCATTATTATTCAGCGTCATAGCAATATTAATTAAGACTTCATGGCTTTTTCTTACTGTTTATTCTACATGCCATCTGAATAAAGCTGTAAAAAAATATACAATGGGTCGTAATTTCCTGTATGTATCAACATCTCGTGAAGGAGCCAACACTTTAGTACATTACGAACTGACATGATCTTATATAATGAATATCTGCATAATATGTAGATCTAAAGGGATATGTCGCGTTTGTCGGGAAACTGTTCATATTATAATATATGAACAGTTTTGTGACAAAATGAGACCTACGACATACATCAAGATGGAGCGTGATCAAGTACCCATAAACAATAACTATTGTACAGTACAATCATAGGTAGCTCGTTCGTTCGTAATGGGAATCGAAGATATACCGCGACAAAAACGTGTGTCTGCTAATCATGTGTACAGCTAGCAGCTTTCTTCTACCCAGTTCTATGGTTGTGTGTTGGTGACTGCGATGCGTTGACATTTCCACGTACAGGGCCTCTCTAGCGAAACTGTGTTTATGTTTCGCCAGCCGAGATCTGGCTCTGTCCAAACGCCTTGTACTTTCGGTGGGCGTGGATGGATAGTAGATCTACATGTTTTGTAAGACTAGGTTGTGAAAGATTCGTCTCTCTAGGATATTGATTTCTCAAATTTATTCAGGTGTGGTGTTTTTTCCTTGGATTATTTGTGACACCTGAGAGTGATTGTGCGGCCGCTAAATTCAAAGTTGTTGTTTGTTTGCTTTTATTTACTAGATCTAGTTCATATCAATTATCCTTTCTTTACACGTTATCCTTTCTTTATCTGTTTCATTCTTTTTATATTTGTGTGTTTGTTGGGTGTATTTGAGCGTGAATGTAGTTGTGCTTCTGCCCCCCCCA